CTGACTTAGCCTTCCAGTTATTATTAGAGTTCACTGATTATCTCCCTCTCGCGCTGTTGCGAGGGAGACAGCCTAATTTCGTCACTCTCACGTGATATGCTCTCAACCAATAAAACACTAGAAAAATGCGACTTTGACTATTGATATATAATAATTTTATTTATTAACTGCCGCGGTGTACGTTTTTGTGGTTAAGAAAAGTTAATGTAATTTGCATAAAATGCCCAATCCTGGCGAATTTTGGCGCCAAAGTATAAATTATGCTCGACTTCGCAAAGACAAGTAGAAGTTGACTCTGTACTTGTTTTGGTATGTAGCTATTTTAATATTAAATATTAAGTGGTTGTTGAAAGCTTATCCTTTGGAATGACCTCCATCTGTAATCAATCATCAATCGGTTTATAATTTTTGTCTGTCTTGACTGTCGCGGCGAGCTTTGATTTTGTGAATGGACTCACTACGAAAATGGCACAACCCTTTCAAAATATTCGCCAACGGCCTTTCGAAGCTCAGACTTTTCGTCGTAATTTTGGAAATAACTTTGATACGGTTGTCGTTTCGGGCTTTTCGAGATATATTCGAGCAAAACAAATTGTGTAAGTTTAAACTTTCAGTTTGTTTATAAAACGAGAAGCCATTCAAGTGTGTCGATAGACTCGATACGCTATGTCAACCACGTCTTGTTTCGCTTTTAGGGACTTTTTTATCTTAAAAGAAGGTGATTGTGTTTGCGTATCGACGAAAAGCGACCCCCCTAGCGTTCTGCTTCGATTTAGTTCTCCCGTCGTCGCTGAAAATGTGGTTTTAAGGTGAGTATTTAAACATTGTTTATATTTTGTGTTGTCCTTTTAAATCAATACTTGAACTGGTCTTGAGTGCCTGTGCCTCGGGCTTTGCGATGCAAAATATGTCGTTTTTGTGGGATTTTGTTCAGTTTATTGACAATATTCGAGTAAAATATAGCATATTTGGTGATAAAACACAGCTTTTACAAGTTTAAAATGCATGTGGTTAATTTTATTGGTATTTTATATAAGTCATAGGATTATAATTAATAGGAAATGAACCGTTTAATGTGGTTATATTTCCGGTTCGTTTAAATATTGATTATTTGATAAATGCAAATTTATTGATTAAAATAAAACTATTATAATAGAAAGTAGATTTAATTAAAAAATGAAATAATAGTATAAATTAGTATAAAAAACAATTATTCACCTCAGGCTCGATGATTATCGTGAATAAAAACCTCAACTTCGTCTCGGGTTTTAATTCATTGATAATCTCCTCGCCTTTGGCGAATAATTGTTAATTAAAGGTGATCTACAGTCCGTATGTAAACAAAGCCTTTGTTTACATTATTGCGTCCAAAATATTGAACTTTATTCGACAACTATTTATATTTTCAAGCTTCTAGAGTATAATAAATGATCAAGAAACAATCAGGCTTTGCAAGAACCCAAAACATAGTTAAACTGTTTGTATCATAAAAAGTGGGGCTCCTTTGTGCACATGCGCAGATCGGACTGTAGATCACCTTTAAGATATATTATTTTTTAGTGTACATTGCAAATGATGCATTTTTGCATCTTAATCTGCATATTTAATTTACATACTTTACATATTAATCATTCCCATGCTGTGACTGTGGCTAACATCAAAAGTGCAGACTAGGGCATGTTGGGCATTCAAAGCTCAACCAACTAAAACAGATAATGGTGTATAAACCCTATAAGTGGCATTGTGCCATAATGCATCTTATTTTGTTATTTTACTCTGTTTGCAAAATTCTAGCTGTACCCACGCACTTAACGCCAGACAGTATATTCATTGTGAAGCAGAAAATGCGAGCACACAATGGGTAAATTACATTTTCCCATCCGTTTCTAGGTATAACAATGCTGATGTTTATGGTCAAAAACTTAAAGTATTTCCTTCAAATAATTGGCATTCTGTCAGTCCACAAATTTCCTTACAATCTGCTGAAATCCCACCTTTGATGGGAAACAATGCACACATTCCAACTCCTAAAACTCCATCTAGAAGAGTGCAGGTGGGTTTTATGAGAGTCCTGAGGATGAGAGGGGAGGGAGTGTCTACATCCCACTTCCCAGCCATTTTTTAGACCAAATCTCAGTCTTAAATGAGAAACCTTGTGACCCATACATGTATCTCATGCAGGACAGAGCAGTTAACTTGTAGTAAAACTTTTTTGATTTCATAGGTTTTTTTGCTTGCTTATCATGGTTTTTGAATACCTTGGGCATAGGGGGGGGGGTGAAAACAAGGGTACTGCATACTGCATACTATGCTGAGGGGGTGGGGCAGGGGGCATTTTGGATTTTTGGCCCAGGCCTCCAGCCCAAAAGGGCCCCCCAAAGTGACGAAGCCTTTAATTTTCCTGATACAAGATTGCTTTTAACTGAGAATAGAAATTCAAGCTGTGTCAGTGCCGGAGAATATGAAATAAAGTGTACTATATTGTAAAACGCTGCTTCTCCTGTTTTACAGTTATGATGTCACAGAGGCCCGCTGGGAAAGTTCTGCCCCAGGCCCCATGCAACCTCACGGTGGCCCTGCTTGCATGATACTTGCCTGAAAACAAAGGCATGGCGTGCCAGACTACATTCTTGCATCATTATATATGCTGCTCAACGTCAAAAAATTATTCTCTATATTAATCTGCATGGCTTCTCCCAACTACAGTATATGGCTGAGCCAGGGTTCAAAATAACGTTCTGAAAATATGTGAAATTTTGTAGGCTGTTTTTTGTAGGTGAAAATTTTTGCCGGCTATTTTCCAAGCAAAGTTTAGTTATGTTCTGGAGTGGGCATAGGCCAAATAATAGTGATGTAAACCAATACAACATTTGTAAGAACACAGTAATACATTTTATTTGGTGTAGGAACAACCATTAATAAGTTCTGTGTATATGTACGGTGTTATTGTAAGCGAGTCATCGGTGAATAAATATAATATTTTCGCCGATCCCCTATGCTTTGAAATTAAAAATCGCTGGCAAGGTCCTAAAACTACCGGCTATCGTTGGAAGCCGGCGGCTATTTCGAACCCTGCTGAGCTTATCAGAAAATCAGAAAGTACACCTATTTTTGTATGGCTCAGATAAACTTGTATATGCAGATAACCAGACGTTACTGCATAATGTCTAATTGTTTATATTGAATTCAAAACGATTTACCAACTGTGTACAGTAATTTTAATCTGTCATGATCTCCCTTGATGAGCTTTAGCTCTTGAAGAAAATGATTCCAAATATGTTTAAATAAAAAAAACCAAAAAAAACTAATCAGCCCTTATATAATATACTGTACATAGGGTTTTCCATGCTGGCAAAAAATCTCACATCAAACAGTAACATACTGTTCCACCTTGTCTAGTCGGCTTTATATTATCCAGATACTTCTGTGGGCATGGAACAAAGTCTATCACCCATGATACAGGAAATTTTGGTTTCTGATTTTGAATTTTGATTCCACAAATGGTTTTTGAATGGTTTTTGAAAGATTTACCATGTATACTATCAAAAACTGAGCAGTAACTGCACTCTTATACCGTTATTGTTTGTTATAGATTTAATTTCCCATATGCTATTAAAGTTGATAAAACATAAAGTAGTACCATTAATTAATGGTAATTATTACTATATGGCAAGCATCACTTCCGGTGAAATGGCGGACTGTGATTGGCTGAGAAGCACTTTCAGCGGTCCATTATTCTCCCGTAATGGACAGACGGTCCATTATGTAAAAACAGACGTATGTATTTTAAAACAAAACAGCAAAACTAATTGAAAATTATAATTTAATTTATTATCAATAAAATGTCTGCGAATGGTTTTACGTAGAAAGGAAGGAATACATTGGTATTTTTGTTTTCTTCGACCAAATTTGTACCACGTTACTAATACGCATTTCAAATCATGCATTTCTTGTTTGTTTCGAGTATAAATGCCTATAAATGCCAAAAAATAAAGTTTTATTAACCTCGCTTGCTCGGTCTTTACAGAGAAATATCGGACCTCGGTCTTTTGAACAAACCTCGCTGCTACGGGCTTCGGTCTGTACAAAAAAGACCTCGGTCCGATATTTCTCTATAAAGACCTCGCGCTTGGTTAATAAGAAGTTAATATTAAACATCGTGGTTTTTACTAATTTACCATATCCGAAATCTATTGTAACGAATAATGGTATAAAGAGTATTTAATTTTATACATTCAAAAACCCATTGATGGAATGTTCAATTTTTTCTTTTTTTTTGACTTTTTGTTTATGGATCAGGCACCATCATTCTTAGATGTACAGCCAGTGATTGGGACATCGATTCTAAACCTAGCCCTTCTCATTCAAAAGAACAACCTGAACGCTAGTAATAACAGTATTGTAGAAAGCCAATGGAAAAGTCAAACACGTTCACCTCAAAGAAATTTTCCACCAAGCAGACGTTCACCGCCGGACAATCAACAGCGAAATGTTACCGATCGGAGAAGTGCGTGTAGACCTAGTGATATTCGTGCAGGACGTGTGCAAAGAAATGCAGACAAGGATCCAACAAGCAATCGCCGTGACAAAAATACCCTGGTGAAAAAACAAGAAACAGCACAAAAAGTATCTCATACGGAAAAATGTCCAAAAGATCAGGGCATTAAAAGAAATGAAGAAATAAAAGGTCTGTATATAGACTATAGTAGTTATACCGCACTGCAAAAAAATGACGATCTGTGGCCGGTCGCATCGGGTCGGTAATTTTTTTTTGCCGTCCTGACATGACGATACTCGATAGGTCGACAATCAGTCGGCATTTGCCGATTGGTGATCCGAATTACGTGACCTGTGTTCATTGCTAATAAGTTTGTTCAAATTATTGTTTAAATCTGTCAATAGGATATTGAAGTACTCATTGACCAGTGCAGAAACAATACTATGATATCATTTATATCTAAGATTGGATAATTCTTACGCCAGTAATAGTAACGAGCGTTTAAGGGTTTTATCCATGTAGTTAAAACTGTCAAACGCGCTTGACAAACATGAAATGTTCGTGTTTGCATGGGCGGTGTATTTTTTACTGCAGCTGTTCGTCCTTAAATACATGCAAATGAAGGTCTTGTCCAAACAACATTGTTTACAATACATCTAATAGACTGCAGCGCAATAATATATTGTCATGTGTTAATACCTTATAAAGAATGATAATTTTGGCTTGAAGTATTCGACTTTTTCCCTGCTATATATTTTCTGTTGGGTTTTGTTCCAATTTTAATCTGCTGTGTTAAATTTACAGGCCCAGTTGTAAGACGGAGGAGACTCGGAAGACGAAACCGTGAGAAAGACATCGAAAGAGCAATTCAAACAGCTGTCTCTAAGGATAGTTCAAGAGTAGTGTCTTCAGCTGGCAAAAACATGAATAAAAGTGACTCGTCATCGTTGCAGAAAACACCACACGATGTGGGAAAGGAAAAGCCAAATTGTTCAACAAACAATAACAAGAATAATGAGACGGGAATTAAAGCGACGATAGAAAAACCTTTCGATGGTTGCAAAATTAATACGGAAGGAAACGAGAAAACGAAGCCGAAGGAGGATGGAGCTTCAGTTGATGGCGTGAAGAGCAAGAGTACAGCGTCAGCGAAAGAAAATCCAGCAAGCCAGGGTATTGGTAGTAAAAAAGAATGCCCAACGAGAGTAAATTGTAAGAAGGATAAAGGGGGTGATAAAACCACACCAAAAGATTCAGGTATCGAAAATGAGAAGCGAGCAGGCGGCGTGAAGGATAAGAGCGGAGAGAAAGGAACTCTTCCAGTAACCCAAGGTACTGCTAGTAAACAAAAATGTCCAATGGGAAAAAGCGATAATAAGGATAATGAAAGTTGCCATACTCCCACACGAAAGGACTCAGTTCTTGAAAATGAGAGTCCAAAGGGCAGCGTTAAGAGTAAGAGTGGAGAGAAAGATATCCTGAAATCATCAATGAGTTCTGAGAGCGAAACGAAATGTCCAACGAACAAAAGTAATGACACTTATATTGGAAAAGGAGGTAATGAAATCACAAAAAAGGATTCAATTATTGAAAATGAGAGCACAAACGCGAAGAACAAGGGTAGAGAGACGGAAAGTCGAAAATCAACAATGGGTTTTGCCAGTGAAAAGAAATTTGTAACAAGGAAAAACGGTGACAAGACTAGTGGGGATGAGAATCGTAAAAAGACAGCGAAGGACTTGGTCATTGAAAGTAAAAGTGCAAGTGACGGTATAATGCGCAAGAGTGGAGAGGGGAAAAGTCAACAATCAATGCGGGATGGTGAAAAAGGAGAAGTTAGTCAAAGAATGGGCCCAAATGACTCGGCTACTGGAAATGAACGTCCAGCTAACAATAACAAGGACAGGAATGTTGAAAGTCGAAAATCAACACAAGATTTCGATCAGGACTGTCTGACGACTGGAAGCAACAGCGAGAATGACGAGCCAGGAAGAAACCTAGCAACTTATAAACGCTGTAGTACAACAGGCAACGTGAAACAGGGCCAAAAGGATTTTGATAGCAAAACTTACGCTGGTATGAAGGTGGCAAAGAATGACAAAAAGTGTTCATGGGACGACAACAAGAACACAAATATCGGCAGCGAATGTCGGCCATCAACATCGAAATCTGGATCAGAAAAGAAATATCCAAGTAGCAATATCAATGATGCGCAACATGGAAAACAGGTCACAGCCTCAACGAATGCAAGCAAGAGTCACGAAAATGTGAAAGGAGGTGATGTAAGATCAACGAATTTCAGTACAGATAAGAATTTGGGAACAACGCAGGATAGTTCTGGTAATAAGGGTCCAATAGCAGACAACGATAAACGAAATGCGGAAACTAGGAGTGAGATTGTGTCAACACAGAACAAATCTGCAAATAACAACAAATCTTCAGTCAAAACGGACCCACAAAACAGCAATGTCAAAAACCGTAGTCAGACGGTGAAGAGTCCTCAAAACCTTCCCAATGGTAAAAAGCCTTCTTTAGAAAACCAGCAAAAGAAGGATGAGAAAGGATTGAAAAAAACTGGATTGAAAAAAACCTCTGACAGAAGTTCTTCAAAAGACAACAAACTGAAGCAAGCTAATGATAGTCCGACTGCAGCACAGAGAAATCCTACTCAGAGAAATTCAACCACTTCCAAGTTAGCTAAGAATAATGGTGGAAAAGCGAAGCCAAAAAGTTCTGTTTCTAAGAAAGATGTTGCAAGAGAACGCAATCACAGATTCATGATAAATGCTCGCGGCGACAAACGCGATAGTTTTGGAAGAAACCATGAGAAGGACAGCATAAGATACAGGAAGAGACTCGATGAATCATCACCGCAGCCAAGATCATTTTCTCCATACCGAAACAGGATCAGTCCTCCAAGAGATTCTAGAGTGTTCGAGGGGAACCGTTCTCCAGATAGAACCACTTTAAGAAACAATCTTGTGAGAAGCTCTGATGAAGTACGGTCAAGGAAAAGAGCCTTTGAAGCTGCAGGCCTTGTAGTCGCTCCACCCAAGAGAAAGTGCTTAAATAAAAAAAGTACGGGAGATAATAAAGATAAGATGGATCCAAAGAAAGTCATTGATACTACCTTTGAAGTTACAGGCCTTGTTCTCGCTCCACCAAAGAAAATGTGTCTAGATGACCAGAGCACTAGAGACACCGATATAAATGGTCCGGAGAAAGTCGGTAGTCCAAATGAGTTTGTTCCAAAGAAAGTGATTGATACCGCCTTTAAAGCTACAGGCCTCGTAGTCGCTCCTCCTAAAGGAAAGTGCCTGCATAACAAAAGTTCAGGAAGTAATAATAATAAAATGGGTACAAAAAGACTGTTTGGGTTAAAGGACCTGCGAGATGTGGTAATTGAGAAAAATAGTGAAAAACGTTATGGAACATTGAAGGGACAAAAAAACAACAATCAAAAAGGGGGTGATGGTATTCGTCGTGGTAAGCAATCAGATACAAAGAATATTTCAACCAGAAAAAATCAGGAAGGCAAAGAGTCCATTCCAGTGGAAATCTCTGCAGAAGATAGCAATCTGAAAAGAAGAGATTGTTTGAATTTTGACAAAGGACAAGCAGCACGCGATGCATTGGAAAACTCAACGAAAGATTCGTCAAAGAACTTGGAAGATAGAGGGCTGGCCATAACAAAAACGTCTGCAAAAGATGCCACTCAGAAAAGCGGGGATGGTTCAAATCTTGCTACAGTTCAATCAGTAAGCGACATATTGAAAACCTCTGACACAATTGAGGATTCGTCAATGCAAAAGAAGCCGGAAAACCACGCTGCAAAGACGTCTGTTGGAGATACCACTGCGAGAAGCAATGATTGCACGAATAGTGATAAACTACAGTTACAAGGCAATGCATTGCAATATTCAGATTTAATGAAGGACTCGTCAAATAACTTGGAGAAGAAAGAATTGACTATGACAAAGTGTTCTTCAGAACAGGACTACCAGGGAAGTAGTAATTGTACAGATCTCGATAAAGAAGAAGTAGCCAGCCACAAATTGGAAAATTTTAAGATTTGGAAGGAATCTTCAACTCAAAAGAAACCAGAAGATAATGGACTTACCATAGCAAAAAAATGTTCAGAGTATTTCTGCCAGAAAATCAACGATGGTACAAATTTTGGTAAAGTAGAACCAGCAGGCGATGCAATGAAATTTTTTGATTCAATGAAAAACTCGACCACGCGAAAGAAATCAGATGACAAAGGATTAACCATAATAAATAGTTCTTTAGAACAGAGCGTCCAGAAAAGCAGTGATGGTTCAAGTCTTTATACAATACAAGTAGCAGGCGATTCATTGAAGAATCCTGAATCAATAAATAATATGTCAACACCAAATACCCCACGAGATAGAGAAACAAGCCTAGAACATGGTTCTTCAAAGCAGAGTATTTTTCCAAAAGGAGATAATCAGAATAAAATTAAGGAAAGTGATAGAGAAAGCCCAATATTGATCAATCAAGGACATGATGACATGAAAGAAAATCTTACTAAAGAGAAAAATAGCCTTGAGAAAAATTCATACAGCAAAATACCGGTTTCACCTTGTACCGCTGTTCTTTCCACCGTTCTTTCCTTAAATTTCTCAATCAGCAGTGAAAACAGTTTTGGTGTGGAAGGTGAGCATACTACTTCCACCGAAAGAAATTCTGACACGTGTAAAGCTTCTTTAGCAGCCGATATTACGCAGAGAAATATGACTAACAATGGCAACGATAAACTGAAATGTTCTTCTTTCAATACAGACAGTTTAAAAGATAGCATTCAAAGAGACATTGAAGTAGAAGCCGGGGATAGAAACCAGATTCAGGACGAAAACTTTGAGCAAGAAAGAAATCCTTCGAAAGGAGATGTCGAAGAAAATGTTTGTCACGTTGATCAAGTTAGTCAGTGTGTTGGTGCGTTTTCAACTGTCATTACCACTACCGATCAGTCGGAGAATGAAAATAGCAATCAAAGCGAGTCATTGTCAATACCAAAGATGTCTGATGAAGAACCATTGAAAGACGACTGTGTAAAAAGAAACGTTTTCGAAAATCAAAAATCACTTCCGACCGTATCAAAAACTGTTCCTTCTAAGACAACAACCTTGGGTTGTACAAACAGTGGTATTACTAATAGCAAATTTATGCTGGCCAAGTTAAAAACTTTGAAAACTAATGCTCAAAAGACTTCCAGAATTCAAGACAGAGCGAACGTGGCCACGAGTGAAGATAGAAGTATTTCTGTTAAGATAAATTCGGCATCAAATAGTAGCCAGCAAGAAAATGAGACGACCAGCCCAAACAATGCCTCTGAAAGCAAGTCAGAGATTGTCGAGGACAGGATTGTCAAATCTGCAGAGACCCAAAGTGAGCTGGCAACCGTATCGAAATATTTCGCATGCATGAAAATCGCTATTGACCAAAAAAGTGATGCTGGTGTTAGTGATGCTAAACTCAAACCAAGTTTAATGGAAATTTCTGGTCCAAATAAGGATTGTTCGAACAGTAATCATAAAAACACTGACGTGGAACAGCAACCAGTCATTACATGTGATTCGGCCAAAAAAGCAGATGACAATTTTCCAAATTCCACTCCTACAAACAAAATTTTGCCGGAATTAGAAGAAGTCGCACCTAGTATTTCTCGAAAATCGTTAAAACCTCAAAGTGAGCGAAGAATTATGATGATTCGTGTGGCGAAGAGTGATGTACAGAAGGTGGACAAAGACGAGAACGAAGAGAATGAAACGCAGAAATCAGCAGAACCAAAAAATATGCCAGTTGGGGCAAATGTTCCTGACAACATGCAGAAACCTGTTGAGAGCAAAACTCGGATGTCAGCGTGCATCTCTGAGACAGTGAAAGAAAGTAAACACAGTGAAGTATTCTCACAAGAAAATACTTCAAATGTTGTCAGCGAAGAACATGTTGCTGAACAGCCCAAGGTCGTCTGTGATTCTATTGGATCTAAGTCCTCATCTGGTGTTGCATTTTTAAGGAAGTCAACAACGATTACGATAGCACCTGCCCTGCTAGCCACAGAAGAAGTTAAGAGATTTAAAACCGATGTACTACTAGTTACAGAAGACCATCCAATGTGTGTTACTAATAATAGTGAAAAATATTTCCATAATTTATCTACTATTGATCTGCAGAACAATAACATACGCATTGCAAGCACCAGTATTTCGGATGTTAAAAAGGAAACCCAACTTCAGAATGAACCAACTTCTGCAAAAGACAACTCGTCATTTCAAAACAATGCTTCTGAAAACAATCAAGGGAAAGAACTCACAAACGTAACTTGTGATTCTTTCAATGCAAACGAGAGTGCTTCCCAGGTACCGAAAGGCTTATTTTTAACTACGATTACACACGATGGCTCTGATTGTGAAGTGAAAAGAGTGAAAATTGAGAAAACGTCGCCACCAAAGGACAATTTAGAGGGAAAACGTTATAGTCTAGTAGATATCCATGGCAGACCAAACTGCGACTCTATAAATTCTGACAAAACTACTCCCTTATCGGAAAACCCTACTTCAACAACGAGTACTGCAATTTTTTCCGATTTTAAGACGATGGTGAAGTTAAATAATATTGAAGAAACATTGACAAAAAACGACCAGGAATATTCAATCGACGACAAACGCTGCGACAGTGACTTTCAGAAAACGAAAGATAATTTAGGAAATTCAAAGAAATCAGTCTCAACAAACAATGCAAAACACAACTCGAGTGCTACCACAAACAATGAATTGGTTTGTGGCAAAGGGACCATAATGTCCTCTGGTAATTCGTCAGTAAAGAAGTGTATTATAAATACAAACATAGTTAAGATTGAAAGCAAAGAACGTTATCTTGAAGTGGATCGTGGGAATGTCTTGAAAAATGTCCATACTGTTACTGGTAGTTCAATTGAAAAGGATCCAGTATCTGTATTGGGAGAAACAGAATTGGTCAGGTGTTCCAGCACATTGTCAAATACTTGTGAGAGCAAAAAACATTTGATTCAACAGGACAGGCAAGATGTTTTGAAGAATTCTCAAAATGGTGTTGGTGATAGCAGTGATGGTATTCTGAACGCAAGTTCAATTGAAAGAAACCCGATACCTGTCTTAGGTGAACCAAGATTGGTCAGGAGTTCTAGTACAAACTCTCGTAACAGCAAAGATATCTTGATGCAGGGAGATATGCTAAATGTGTCGATAAAATATGAAAATAATACTGATTGTAGCTCTGAAACTTTATCGAACTTGACTTCAATGGAACGAAAGCCGATACCCGTATTAGGAGAACCACGGTTGGTTAGGAGTTCCAGCACAAACTCTCTTTCAGCTAACACTGAAAACCAATCTTTACTTAAGCCTACTGGTCCTAGTTTGCAGAATCATACTCGAAATTATAGCCAGTGTGCGGGAGTGAATGCTCAGGGGAGAAAGTCTGGGAAAAGAAAAATAACACGACGAAAGGAAAATAAGAATAGGCGTAAGAAACGTTTAAGAAGAATGCAAAATCAACAGCAAAACCAAGGAGCAGAAGATAATGTTCAATGTGGAAAGGCTGTCGGTAATAATGGCAGTGTACAACAACAGAATTGTGAACCTGAAAGTTTGAAACAAGTTTTCCGAATGAGGTGTAAAGATTATACCACAAATGTTGAAAATTTTGCTCAAAATTTAAGTCTGAATGAAAGCAGCCAAGAGATTCTGCAGGACGTTTTCCAAAGTGGTTGTTTTGGAGACTTGATGAATGATGAGAATTTTGGTCAAAATGAAAAAGGTGTTAGTCAGAATGGAACCAAGCCAAGATTAGAGCAATCTTCCCAAGAGGAAGTCCCAAATAACGATGGTAATTTAGTTCAAAATAGCAACGGTGTAAGTCAATATGATATCGAACAAAATGTAAATTGTTCAATTCAATCTACCGAAGTGGTTTTAAAACATGCTTCCCAAAGTCAAAGTACCGGTGACGCTATAAAACAAGCTTTTCAAACTGTCTCCCACGAGGTAAATAATGATGAAAGGTCTGTTCAAAATGTACAAAGTTCCCAAGATGAATTAAAGCTATCTTCTCAGATTGGTTGTCAAAAAGTAAACAGTTGTCAAAATTCGGTTCAAAGTGACACATTTAACAATGCCAGTGATAGAAACTATGATTTTAGTGGCAATGAGAATGCTCTAACGTTGATAAATAAGGATTTTAAAAGTGGTTGTCACAATGTCAATGGTGGGAATTCTGTTCAAAGTGGCGCAAGTTTTAGTGACAATGGTCGTGGAAATTTGAACTATCCAAGCGCAAGCTGCCAAGATATTTTGAATCAAGCTTCCCAAAGTGGGTGTGAGAGCCTTAGCAATGGTGGAAGCTCTGTTCAGAATGATGGCCAAGATGTCAATTTAACGGGCGATACCGCAATCGCAGGCAAAAGAAAGCGAGAGGATGAGCCTGCCGACGTAGCTGGGAATAAGCATCAAAAGTGTCTAAATCCAAGCCAAAAAAAGAATTTGAATGAACTACAAAGCAATCAGAGTAATGAACAAGCTGCTGGTGTTGAAGGCATGAAATTGAGCGGGAAAGAACGTAATGGACAAGAACAAGAAAGACGGTTTCTATGGGAAAACATATTGACAATTGAAGAGGTTGGGTTACATTTTAATCCGTATTCCAGTTTACTTTAGACTGATAAAACCATCAATTATTTAAGTTTTCTCGTATGGTAACACACAATCAATAGCCTTACTCGCTCTCTAGAGTGAACAGTTTAGAACTGATACAATTATAATAGTATAATTTACAAGTGTTATTACCTCTTGTAGTAATACTAGACCAATAATGAATAGGCTTTACTGGGTTGCTCAGGAAGACAAGTTAGACAACCCTGATGGAGAGAGCTATCTAGTATGGAATGGAAAAACTTTATTTAAACAGGGGTGGCCCTTTCAGCACGATGCCTTTCATGCACGATGATGTGGTGGATATTATAGGATGATAAGGGGTTTTCTCTTTCTATTTTAGCAATACGATAAAGAGAGTGTTGCCTTGCTCAGGAACGTGAAGATGTTAGCTAGGTAAGTAGATAGCTTTCAGCTCACTTTAAAAATAATGTCACCGTGGTCAAGCAAAATTTTTAGCTTGCTTTGTAAAATACAATAAATAAAGTCGTTTTTTTTTGTCAAAACTACCTGACCCATTGTAGTACTGCGATTACCTATTTGTATCTTACAGCATGGATCCAAGTTTGACAGAAAAACTAAAAGGTGCCTTCAGAGATAGCCTGACCGAGATTGGTCGAAAGTATTTATTGGATTTACATAAACTGAAGGTAAAGAACGACAGTTACAAGAATCAACATAAACTTGCTAAGGGTAATAATGTTCCTCCAAAGAATCCTAAGAATATACAAAGTACAGATCAGGGTAAAACTCAGAATCAACGAAAGATGATTAAAGCTAAGACCCCTCAGAGTAAACCTGGCACTCCACAAAAGAAGGGTAAAGGAAACGTCAATCAAACAAATCCCACGAAAAAGCAACAAGGTACTGGCAAAGCTGTCGATAATGGTGAAACTAACAACCAACAAAAGATGGCCAAGGGGGAAATGGCTGAAAATAAAACTCAGAAAAAATCACAGATGAAAGGTAATATGCCTCGGAATGAACCTCAGAATACGCCCAAGGGTGATAATTCTCAAAGAAATCCCCACAGCCAGTATAATATGATTAGACCGGTCGGGAAAATTGGACCTACCAACAACAAACAAAATATGGTTTCAGGTACTATGCCACCGTGCTGGCCAAAACTAAATGGCTCAAAGGGAAATGTTGGTCAAATTGGTCCACAAAGAAGATGTACGCTGTAAAGACAGAGTGGTTAAAATAACCAATTTGAATTTGCTGTCCCACTTATTTTACTGGTATTTTATTGGTTAAAACAACCAAATGTTTGGTTATTTTAACCAATTTTTGTTTTGACCAAATAATATAAGTCAAAAGAAAATGCATCTGAGGCAAACCAATTCAAATCGGTTATTTTAACTCATGGTGTGAAACAGTCCAAACAAACGATTGTAGACTAGAGATTGAATACAGTAAAATCCCTCGTATAGGAACCTGCTCTTTTTCAGGTCAAGGGAAATAGGTTCTCACATATGTGATCAGAATATTAAGTTGTATTTCATGACTGTAATACTAATGTTACAACATTTTCCAAATTTCAAGCTGAATAATTGGTTCTGATAGAAATGGTTGAATAAACGGCAGATTTCCGGCTAGTAGGATTTTACTGTATTACAGTCGCATTTCTATTAAGGGATATCGACTAATTTATATTTGGAGTTTTGGAACTGTTGCTCTGAAATTTATGAAGGTAGTGCTTGGAGTATAAATTATTTATTATTAATGTTACCAATAATTGAATTCACTACAATCCTGCCAAGACGGTGTTGAAATACCATATCATTTTTTGTGCTTTACTGCCTTGTTTGTTTATGTAAGGGGTGACCAGGGACGCTGGAACTGGAGGGGCAGGAGGGGCAGCTGCCCCTCTTGCCTTTTGCTAGGAGGGGCAAGGGGGGCAGAAGTGCCCTTTGAGTTGTAAAATACTACCTGATAAATCACATTTCCAGTGATGCTTTTTGGGCAAAATCGTGAGGTGTGATCTTGACCTGATTAAGTGCGTTTGCTTTCATTGGCAAATCATATCTTCACCGGGATCTATAGAGGTGGCCTTTTGGTGTACGTTTGCCCCCCTTTGCCTTTTTATCGTTCCGGCGTCCCTGGGGGTGACTCCTTAGACAGACGACTGTTCTCTCTAAAGAGTTTATTTTTCTAACGTATAGCATACATGGGAATGAGGAACTCAAAACTCCTTATATAATGAAATTGTTTATATGGCGTTTCAACGCTGTCCTCCAGGATTGTAGCTTGTTGTTCAGATGCCAATGGTATTTGACAGATGTCGAAGTGATTGTGTAAAATGTTTCATGGTTAATATTGAGCTAATTTTAAAGATTTTGGTTTGTCATTGCGTTTATTTTTTTATGGAACTGTGGCATAGCTACAACTACTGCGAAAAGAATTTGGTAAATAGACCATTTAAAAGAATTTGGTAAATAGACCATCTTTCCCAAATTCACCCTGAAAACCGGAGTACCCGTGCTAGAGTACCCGGAGACCGAAACAGCGTATCACCGGAACAGAGTACCCCCGGAACATAATACCCCCGGAGATTATGTATGGTAACATTTTTCACATTTCAACAAAGAGTCAACAAAATTGTATACAAATTGTAGAAATTTTGGCTTAAAAACGAACAATTGATTGCGATACTTTCAAGCATGCAAGATATTAATCTTGTGTTACTATTATCATGGAGAGATCCGATGAAATTTGTCTCGATTCTGAACATTTAAAGAAAATATCTGTTCCTTCGACGGGGTTCGTGGAAAATTACGTGGTAAGGTGTCAAATATACAGTATAAACAGTTTGACAAATTGCGCAAGTGTCGATTTTACGATCGCTGTGTAGCTAGAATAATAGTGGGCGGTGTTTCTCGCCGCAAATTTTATGCAATTTGTATCGTAGTATAAAATATGGATTACTCATTTACATCACTTACATGTAAACATTTAAATGGAATAATTAAGCCTGGGTCAGCTGGGTGTATTTAAATGAACTGTACATATTTGTTACTCCAATCTTGTGCCGAGATCCTGTGGTCCTGTTTGATCAATGGTCAGGACTATTGATTCCGACTGGGATTTGGCGCTTGGGGAACGAGACTGTAAAGCCATGCCAGACATGAGAGAAACTTACTTGGCTCAGCAAGTTTCCCTTATACGTGTGCGACAGGCTTAACAGATCCTCCTGTTTAGACTGTTTAATACTGCTGTTTGTTTTTGTGTGTTCTAATATTGCTATAGTGGATGATTGTTCATATGTTGAATATTTATGCCAATCGATGTGAAACCTTAGTATTTCAACTGTCCCAGCTGTTTTCCATTACATTTCATCATCATCCTGTTTGTCCCCTCAAGGGTGGTCGGGTCGACTCGACACCTTACTCCACTCTACTCTGTCATTGACCTTGTCCAAATCCACCACTCTCCCATCGTCCCGAACACAATCCATCTATAGGCATGCAGGGGGCAGACCATGAATGAGGTATGGGCTAATAGTGGCTGCGTAAAGCAAAGCGCCATTTGTAAGTTCACAGTCTACCTTTGTCTGCTTCACGTCAGTTACGGTTCTATCTATCTATTCACAATGTAACCAGTCACTGAAAAACCCTGATAGGGAGTGTGCTGTGCAATATCTGTATCTGTATCCATCGTTTTCTTCACGGTTGACCCCTACTTCTAGCTTGTTATTGGTTCCTTATACTCCATTGGCCATCACTCCCATTGTCAGTGTGCAATGAACAATGTCCTATTTGAGTTGCATGTGTAACCAGCAGCATATACATACCAAGACTGTTGAATGCTAGTGACAACTACTGTTGTTGTAGGTTTACAATATCGAGGTTTCTTTATATGATTACTCTTGGACTGTCAAAAGGAGATACCGAGAATTTTGCGAGCTTCATGAAAAGGTTGGTTTGTAATGTCATTGTCACAACTACTTGCACAGTGGCTGGTGATAATTTACAACACCATATTATATAATATAGTAATTACCACAGACTGTTTTTTACCCTTGTTTGAACAAATATCACCAACACCATCATAACATTGACCACAATTATCAACATCGAATACCATACCAATATCGATCACCATGCACCATCATTACCACCACATTACCAATTCAATAATCATCACATCACCACCACCATGATCATCAATAGCATCACTTTACTGCTAGATTATCACTACCATCTTTACAACCAACAACCACCATCATCACCATGCACCACCATCATCACCATGCACCACCATCATCACCTTGCACCACCATCATAACTACCATCATCATCACCACTACCATCATCACCACCACCAACATCATCATCAATTCATCATTATTACCACCACCAACATCACCACCAACA